TTAGACAAATCTNTTTTTTTAAAGAGAATCTAATTCCGTTTTCAAAATGCCAGCATTGTTGTCGTCATTTATCAAATTTGTATTTCTTTCAATTCTTAAAATATTTTCTATTAATTTATCTACTGTACTATTATCTAATGACCTAAATGTATCAATTATTTTAACTGGTAGTATCTTAAAAAAATACTGTATGATATGTTTTTCCGACATGATACCTTTAAACCTACGACATTCTGCTACTACTCTTACTAAACATTTTTAAACCAATTCACTATCCGTCATTTTCATCACAATTAAATTTTTTCTTATTAAATTTAGATTATTGTAAGAGTTAAAATTAATTAATGACAGTTTAACATTTTTCCAAGTTAAATTTGTCGATCAATATTCTATAAATTCAAATATTTTAAGTGCATGATCCTGTAAATATAAGGGTAACATAGAAAGTTTTTTATTATCATCCCATTGTTTCGCTTTTACTACGCGATCGAAATACTTAAGATATTTATCTATATCTATTTCCACATCTCCCGAATATGATAACAGTTCGATAAAAATTTGCATATTTTTATAAATTATATACTTATTAACAAAACCAAAATAATAGAATTTATTATTACGCCCAAACAGCATTTGACACTTCAGAAAAAATTATAATATTAATAATAACAAATATTACTTAAATAATCTAACTGTAACTCGAGTACACTTTAGAGGAATCGACTTCGTATATGAGTGCCTTAAAAAAAATAGAAAGTATAAATCGATTAAAATACAAAGACCGGCGCCTCCACTATATGTTAGGGGCTTGTTTAATACTTGAGGATCTTGGAAAAAACCAAAAAGAGGAAGCTACCCGACGTCTGACCAAATATCATCCCTATCTCCTTAAATGAGTTTTAATTACCTGAAGGAGACCCAGGCAATCGTGTATTTTAGTTAATGGGGATAGATTATTGAATAAAATTAGACTATTGTTTTATGTCAACGATAAAGTAAAGTTATATTTTAGATGTTCAGTAAATATAAGTTATGTGTAATGTACAATACGTCTGACCTGAATCTTAGTACAGTTGGTTAGTAGGTATATCCAAGTGAGATTGAGTTGGTTGGCTATGATGACTATTGGCGATAGACGGGTCGTTGAATAAAACAAGTTAAGTTATAAATAATATAAATAAGACATAAGTAATAGTATTGAAATCTATGTCTATAATGGCCACTCAAACACAACTGCCCTTTGTTAGTTGAACGTCAGTAGCTCTGGGCTACAGACGAGTAGAATTGTCACATCAGCATCTCCCTCTATGCTAATTAATATACATTACGAATTAAATAAATGGAAATAAAACGTGTATAATGTAGTTGGTAAGTACATAGTAATAAATGTTTATTGTAAAAACAATAAAGTATTGAAATTTTCCTTGCTCTATGTTAAATTTATCGCTTATATTACATTTAATAATAGAAATAAAATATTTTATATAATAGGTATATGGCAATATGTTTTCTAGACTGCTGATTTCAAATGTATTATCAATTTTCAAATTTTAAGGGATTTGAAAATTAGTAATTCAAATAAAATAGTATTTTTAATATACTGAAAAATCGTGTTGCACTTTAAGTTAGGGTAGTCGTCATAAAATTGTTAATAATAATAAATATATGAGTAATTGTAAGAAAATTCTTTTAGATATTTTAGACAGATATTTATACTTTGGTTGAGACTTGGTTGTTGCCCATAATACTTTGTACAATTTGAAATGTCTTATTAAAAATTAAATTTTTGAATATAATGAAAAAGTATGGTTTATGGTTAAATATTAAACAAAAATAACAATTTGTATTATAGAATAAATAATTATTTTTTGTATATAATTATAAAATATACAGACTATTCAGTAAATAAAAAAACAGGTTAACTATTATACATAATATGAACAATAGAAGCTCTTTCCTTACTTACTAAACACTTTATATAAGTGTTTTGGTTGATTTAATCAACTTTCCGTGAGAGTGGGTAATTTATTAAATAGCAATAGCAATAAAAGAATACATCTTTTATTATTGTTGAGTTAATATATTACCATTATAATCAAGCCCTAAAGTAAATTTGTTAAAATAATTACATTTGTAATTGGAAGAGGCGGACCTGGTTACAGAATAAATATAAAATGACCCAGACAACTTAGGCACTGTATTTAATCATTTAAACATAATAATAATATCAACATTTAATACTATTTAATAGTTAGAATTTTAATTTTGTAATGCGTAAAATATAAAATTGCATTTAATACTAATATTTTTCTAATATTTCATATTCGATATTTATTGTCGATATTAAACCGATGCGATGATTAAATATTTAAATAAATGAAAAATACACCACTTCTCATCATAATAATCAAACAGGATCTTCAGGATAAGTCATTATATATATTCATTGAAATGATTTGGAGTATTTATTTTGAAAATATTGATATTAATATGAAAGGTTACAAATATTATAAAAAATCAAACTAATTGGCCGCAACGAAAAATTTGTAACTTTCATGACGCATTGAAAAATTAATAAGAAAAGGGTCGTCAAACTACTGGGTCAGACAATGTATTGTCGGACTACAGTAGGATTTTAAAGAGTAGTTAAATTTTGTACATTAAAACAATTAAAAAAAAATCTATAAAATTATTATAGATTAATTATTATTATAGATATAGTTGAGTCGTTGTTAGTTGATGTACACCAAAACCTCGTGACAGTTGTTACATAACAATATAGATCAGGGATGACCTTATACAAGGCCGTTGCCCGTACCTTATAAACTAGGGGAGGTGATTTTTAAAAGAAAAAAATACACGAGTCCATTGAAGATGGAACACGCAAAAAAAAAGAAATATATGATGGTTTAGTTAAATTAAAGGGAATTTATTAAGTAAAATAAAACAAAAAAGAAATTAAGTTAATACGAGGCAAAAAACCGAACGGTCAAAAAACCTTGTCTACAAATTAAAGGGGAACAGAGAGAAAAAAAACAGATATTAATAAAAAAAATAATTACACCTACACTTTTATTATTAGAGAATACGATGAACGTCTTCGGGTACCCACTGGCTATTAATCACGGCATTATCGCTAAGCACGGCGGGTATACGTCCCAAGTAAGCGAATGGTTGTGAACAGTTAAACTTAGCTTGCAAGACGTTGTGACACCCCGTAATAAAATGCACTACGTCACCACATTGTACTAATAATATATACGCATCTCCCAATATCATATAAAACCTATAAAAAAAATATAGATATAACATGACATAACATGACAGGTGGTCTTGTCACACGCCTGCCATGTTGCGGGACCTAAATAAAAAAAATAAGGGCACCTAAAAAAATTTTAAATTATAATATGTAAACTGTTTTAAAATATTCATGAAAAATTGGTCTTTTGAGTGAAACAAAATTTTCGAAAAACTTCAAAATAATAATTATTTTACTAATACACTTTTGAAAAAATCCATAAATAGAAGTAGCTACTTCTATGACTAGTCATTTAATGAAAATAATGTAAGTGCTCTAATTTAGGGTTGTTCTCAATATACAATTATATAATATAATGGATAAAGACAACAAAGTTTAAAAAATTTTATTTTTCTAAGTTTAGGGTTCTCAATTTCTATTTGAGTTTAATAATTAGTATATTGTAACAAGCAATTACAAAAAAAAAAAAATTAATTACAATTCTATCAATTTCACATTCATGCGGGAATTACTTCGATATTAATAAAAAAATTATGAATCGTAATTTCAATTTTTAAATTGAACACAATTGAAGTTTAGATTAAATCTATTTCAGAGTAACATTTTATCATTTCGATTATATCAAACATTAATACTGTAGTGACTATGGAATGATCAAGAATCTTCGCGACGGATAGGCAACACAAAATGCATATACGCGCGAATGTTCTCGATCGCGTCGTACAAGAATCTTCTACAACTCAACACAATATAAAACGGTGCGACAATCAGTTAGTTAGCCAGTCGTCAGTTAATCGGTTAAGTAATTAAGTACACTCATTAATATAATTTTTATATAAATTTTCTTAATGTTTTAAACAATAAACTGTCTATATTTTTTTCTGTTATATAAATTTGTGTTTTTATTTATTTAAAATCAATAAGTGAAGCACTAAAAATTGGTGACCTGGACAAAGGAAAAATGGTAGACAAAACAACAGCAGATAATATAAATATAGTTGTCGTAAAGCTGCCACCATTTTGGAAATGTGACCCAGCTGCATGGTTCAAAAGAGCCGAAGCTCAATTTAGACTATCACACATAAGTAAGTCTCAAACAAAATTTGACAATATCTTGGCCATGCTAGATGAAGACATAGTAGGAAAAGTAAGTGACATTTTAGACTTAGACATTAACGAAAACTGTTATCAAAATTTAAAAGATAAGCTCATTAACACATATGGTAGAACTGACGAAGAAAAATTTCGCGAATTAATTTCTGGAATTTCATTAGGCGACGAAAAACCTTCATTGATGTTGTCGAAAATCAAATCATTAGCCGGACAAAATTGTCCTTCTCACTTCATAAAACAAATGTGGTTACAACGCTTTCCTAAACAAGCCCAAATAGTACTAGAAGTAGCTCCAAAAACAGCAATTGTTGACGAACTTGCAGAAATGGCCAACCAAGTAGTTGATGACTCTATAAACACAGTGAACCAGATACAAGAACAACACATACCAGATAATATAGAAAATAAACTAGCGGACCTCCTACAACAAATTAAACAACTTCAATTACAGCGAGGACGAAATTATTCAAGATTACACGGCGGAACCACTCACGTTCAAAATCTCGGTCACGTTACAACTCAGAAGAACCATTATGTTATTTCCATTACAAATTTCGCGGTAAGGGACAAAAATGTGTTAAATCATGTAAAAGGACCATAAAACCGCCAATCATAACGAAAAACTAAAATGCTCTCCGTTTCTACAATCAAGACACAGAGGGACTTTCACTACTTAGAAATCCTAGACAAAAAATCTAATCTACAATTTTTAATTGACAGTGGAGTTGAAGTTTCAATAATAAAACCTAACAACTTAGACAAATCTAACATTTCAACTCGAGTACTTTACACTACAAACAATCAAATTATAAGGACCTACGGAGATCCAACAATGGTTTTAGATCTAGGACTTCGTAGACAATTTCGCTATACATTTATAATTGCAGATGTAACTCGTTGTATTCTAGGAGTGGATTTCTTAGCGAAATTTAACTTGCAAATCAACCTTAAACGCAAACATTTTCTTGAAGATGGCGTTACACATTTAACAACACCACTAGTTACCCCGCTCAAAGCAGACAATATACTAAGTATTTCATTAATCGAGCACAACTTAACCTATTCAGACATATTAAAAAAATACTCTGAAGTCATCAATCCAGCTTATCAAAAAGAATTAAAACATTCAACTGTCCATTTCATTCAAACAACCGGACCGTCAATATCAGCCAAAGTACGAAGATTATCACTAGAAAAATAACAAATAGCTAAACAAGAATTCAAAAGAATGTGTGAAGAAGGTATTTGCCGCTCATTAAATTCTCCTTGGAGCAGTCCACTTGTCATGGTGAAAAAACGAAATGGTCAATGGAGACACTGTGGAAACTATAAGGCACTTAACAGAGTAACTGTCCCAGATCGATATCTCTTACCGCACATACACGGTGTAAACATCTAACTTCATAACAAAACAATTTTCTCAAGACTGGACTTGGAAAAATCTTTCAATCAAATAAAAATGGCTGAAGAAGACATTTTTAAGACCGCAATAATAACACCATTTGGCAGCTTTGAATTTTTAAAAATGCCATATGGACTAAGAAACAGTGCATAAACATTCCAAAGGTTTATAAACGAAATAATACCGTTTACTGTAGCGTACATAGATGACATATTGATTTTTTCAGAATCCAAAATGGAACACAATGAACATCTAAACACAGTACTAAAAACACATGCACAACATGCTGTTAAAATCAACCTAGAAAAATGCAGTTTTGGACAAAAATCAATAACCTTTTTAGGAAATCAAATTTCAAAAGAAGGAACCATACCTGATCCAGAAAAAGTCAAAAGTATTAGAGAAATGCCTATACCCAATCAAATAAAAGATCTACGGCAATTTCTCAGTATGATTAACTTCTATAGACGTTTTATACCACAGCTCGCACATCACCAACTACATCTGAATGAGCTGATTCCAGATAACAAGAAATATGATACGCGAGTCATAAATTGGACATCTGAAGCAAAAGAAGCATTTTACACTTGTATAGAATTATTGGAAAAGTCAACCCACTTAGCACACCCACATAATAACACTTACTGCAGATGCCAGAAAAAGGGCAATCAGTGGATTTGTACACCAAATAATTAATAATAAATCGCTTCCACTAGGCTTTCACAGTCGCAAACTAATAACTACTGAGCAGCGATACTCGACCTATGATAGAGAACTTCTAACCATATACGATTATTGTAGACATTTCACTCACTTATTAGAAGGCAAGGACTTTACAATTTATACAGACCACAAACCATTATGTTCATGTTTTTAAACAAAAACTAGAAAAAGCATCTGAACGATAGCAACGAAAACTTTCATTTATATCACAATTACTAACATACAGCACATTTCCGGATCAAACAACATCACAGCATACTATCTTTCAAAAGTCGAAAGCGTATCAAATACATCTGACCCAATAAACTTAATAGAAGAAATCGCCAACGCACAAGATAAAGATTACATATTAACCGATACTAGTCTAAAAAACAAGACATGGAAATAGAAGGTGACCGAAAAATTAAATGCGACAGAAGCACTGGTAAAATACGACCAATCACACTACCATTACTACAAAGAAAAGTATTTTCAACTATTCATAACTTATCTCATCTTGAAATAAAAGGAACTCTTAACCAAATTAAACCACGATTCGTATTGAAATCAATGAAAAAATATATAACATCATGGGTAAAAGCATGTGAAAAATGTCAAAAAACAAAAACATACAAACACACAATTACCCCAATCGGCAATTTAGTCCACCAAGTGGTCATTTCAAACACATACACTTTGACATTGTTGGACCATTACCACCATCTAAAACTTATAAATACATAATGACTATGATCGATAGTTTCACAAGATGGATAGAGGCAGTGCCTATTATAAAAAAGACATAACTGCAGAAACATATGCCACCACCCTAATTCAACATTGGATTGTAAGATTTGGAGTTCCCCATAGAATAACAATAGATTAAGGTAGACGATTCGAATCAACATTAAACAAAGAGTTATCAAAAATATTAGGTTTTCAAACAATACGTTCATCACCATATCATGCACAAGCAAATTGAATGATAGAAAGAGTACATAGAACACTAGAAGCCGCTATAACATGTAAAGACAGCATCCATTAGTCCAAAGAACTACCTATGATTTTATTAGGCCTACGCATAACACTAAAAGAAGAATTGAAAGCATCCCCAGCCGAACTAATCTATGGTCAAACGCTAAGACTACCAGGACAATTTTTCGAAGAAACAGAACACGCTTCCATGCGAAGCTAAAAAGGAATTGAGGCTGTAGCGAGGTGTAATATATAGAAGTTATAAACACTTTTACGATTTAATAACAACTATACTATATTAAAACGAACTAACAAATAACAGCGAGAGACGAAGCGCGTTTAAAACAGAATGCGTAAGTGATTGACTGGAGCGACGATCTTGCCCTTAAATAGTCAGAGGAATCTTCTAGAGGCGGCGGCGGCTGAACATTCTAGAACATTCGACCGCCACAAGGCGTATCCACCCACGGCAGTCAGCAATTTCCTTTTTCATTTATATTACTTACGTTTTATAATTTTTAATGGAATAATAATAATTTCAATACACAAAACAAAAATTAGCCGCTTATGACAAATAAATGTATTGTTTTTCTTAGAAAATCATTATTTATGTAAATTGAAAAATACATAGACGTATTTCCAAACTGTAAAATATGAAAAGTAAAAATTAATAATGAAAATTGCTTACTACCACGCAATGCCTTGATTAAAAATAAATTATTATATTAGGAAATTTCGTAATGAGCCAAACTGGTCTTAGCATGGCACCAATGCAAGTCGAAAAAATGACACGCAAGTCTTCGCTATAACAAGGCTAAGACTGCGAGAGTTTTGCAATCTTAGAAATAATAAAGAATGATTATTACTAGGGTGCAATATCCGTATAAAAGATCGTTCGTTCTTCACAAAACGATGAATAACACCTTAAAAAACCGATATTATGAGTAATTGGCGCTTAATTTTTGTCCAACGATATAAAGAGATTTAAAAAAATTACAAAACGTGTATAGTTGAAATAATTAGTGCCAAAATAAGTGCCATATGGAAAAATTCCCATAAAAAATTGAAATATCCCAAAATTCTGTTGTTATAAAAAAATCAATGAAGATATTTTTATATTGAAATGACTTTATAAAAACTAGGCAGATAATTGCGAAAATTTTAATGATAATATATTAAACAAAGCTTTGCCGACGACATACTCTAATGAAAATCCTATAGTATACCAGTTTACTTAGGTTTCGATAAAAAACGAACTGAATTCTGGATTGAATCTAAAACCTGCTCAGGCATGCGAGCAGAACATAGCCTTCTTATATTGTCTTTAATTACCCATAACTTAGGACATTGTCACCTAATACACTTGCCAAAAGCATCGTTAATTAGTTAAAATATGAATATGTATATTTATAACAATGGTAAAAAAAACCTCAAATATCCCATTTCGCTCCTATGTTAGGGTAGAATGGAACAGTTAATAGATTTATTATTTTTGTACTTGTTTCATTTATTAGTTAGATTTAGAGAACAACTTATTAATATTTTTAAGCATTGTTGTTTTAAATTTTGAATTTAGAATGTCTAAAATATGTTTTACCAAATATCAATGAACTGACAAACAGTGCTTTTTTATTATTAAAGTATATATTTTTTAATGACGTTTTTAAACAACACGCTATAAGGTATAATAATTTAATTTTAATACATTTAAGATGATATTTAGTTTAGACCATATGTTCACATTTGTTAGAATATTACAAAAGTTAATGAGTCACATTTCTTTTACTGGTTTGATAATTCATAAAATACAGCTATTACAATTAACTTATAAGTCTTATAATTATATAATTATATATAATATAATTATATTCAACGATTTTATATATTGATGTTAAAATTTAATCTCAATATAATTTAATCATATTAAATTTATAGTAGGCTCCGCCTAGCTGGGGCTCCACCTCAGACCCGGGGTCCTTCGAGCCTTACGCGCCTTCAGCGCGTAAGTCTCGTCGGCCCGTCATCATAAGTAGGCCACTGATTCCGGTAGAAGTACCCGGCTACGCCGGGCACGATAAATGTTTTTCAGAAAAAATATTACTTCAGAATCAGTGAAAACTATAGAAAACTATATCTAAAAATGTTATTATTAAAATCAGGAAAATTC